TTGGAAGAATTTCTACCAGATTCCTGTATCTATATTCAGGCTTGAAGAATAGAATATGAATAGTGATTATTCCATTCTTGGAACAACAAATAGCTGTGACTTACCACCATGACTTCATGCTCAGATGAAATACACAAAACATGATTCTTTAAAGAAGTAGAGATTGGAGAGATGTCAATGCCAAAGTCTCCATCTCCAATGCACTTGGTTCTCACTGGTGAGTGTGTGTGTGTGTGTGTGTGTGTGTGTGTATGTGTGCTCCACCAAGTGGGGGCTTCCGATGACCTTGAGGCATCTACTGTATCCAGCTCATGTATCAATCTCAGCAGCTGCTGAATTGATCCATCAAAGATGGAGAAAATTTCTTTGGAAATCCCTATTGTCTGCACAGCTCCCATTAAATTTGGACAGCTTCTTCCAAACAAGGCCACTAAGCTGCATTGGGAAGGGGGGAAAGAGAATGGGGGCAGGGGGAGGGGAGAAGGGGGGACACTCATTGCTGCTATGCCCACCCCTGTAAAAATGTAATTGCTACACATATTCCCAATAAAATGCTCAACTGTCCACAGGGACAGGGTGGGGATGGAGGGAAATTCCTGTACTCACATGTAGGTATAATGGTCAGGTAAGTGTTGTGCAAAGAGGAAGGGCAACAGATGGAAGCAGATTGGCTCAGGCAATTGTCACAACAAAGCATCATCAAGAAATTCGGCCTCACATAACAAGGGCAGTTGTTATGATTTGAATGTGCCCCTCAAAAGTTGGTGTGTTGAAAATTTAATCCCCCAATTTATATATTACTACTATCTGGAGGTGGAAACTTTGTGAGACAATTGGGATTAGATGAGGTTGTGAAGATGGAGCCTCCACAATGGTGTTAGTGACTTTATAAGAACAGAAAGAGAAATCCAAGCTAGCATACTTGCTTTGGCCAGGTGATGCCCTACACCATGTTACGATGCAGCATGAGGCCTTCACTAGATCCTGGTGCCACATGCTCTTGGACTCCCTGGATTCTGGAACTGTAAGCTAAGTAAACTTCTGTTCTTTTAAAATCACCTAGTCTCTGCCACTGAGTTATAGCAACAACAACAAAAAAAGTCTAACACAGCACAACCTGTCACAATTTCCTTCTCCCACCTTGTTATTCCCTTCTTTCTGAGGTTGACTAGGTTGTGGTGTAACTTTTTCAAAACAAATTTAAAAATTGGCCCTTGAAAAAAATCTAAAAAAAAATCTTTTTACCAATTGAGCGTACAGCACATGTGGTCCAGGATGAAAACATGGAGAGCAATTTTGCAGCTATATGGGGTCTTTGCATAGTTTTCTGGCAGGAATGGGGCTCAAAGTTCACCCTGTAAAAGGCTGGATGAAAATCAGCACCTTTCATGAGATTCAGATTTACCATAAGGCTCAATCCAAACCTTGTTAAGATTTTTTTTTTCCTTAGAGGATTGAGAAGGCAACAATGCTCATCTGATCTAACACAAAGGAGAAGCCCTGTTCACCATTGATGGAGGAAGGGACAACTGGTTTTTGCATGACCAGTTTCTAAGACATAATCTGCAGGTGTGCTTGGGTGATGAATAGGTGTCACTGTGTCAGTAGATATACGGAAAACACTTGAAAATAGAAAATATATCAGCAAGGGAGTCCGAGATGCCTAAAGCAGCCTCACTCCCAGACATGGGACCATTTAGTGAAGACAAGTAAGACCAGCAGTGGTCAAGGAGAACTCTTACACAACATCCTAAATTTTCATGGTAAGACTAGTGATGCAGTGTGAAATTCCAACAAACTAACCTCACACTAGATAAATATTCATCTGGTAAATTGGATTCTGGAGTGGTGAAGATGAATTAGGCCTGCAAAAAATTCAAAGTCCTGCAATTTTGCTACTATTGACCTGTCCATATGCCATTTCAGGGATCAAAGAGCGGTATTCCATCCTGAATAGGTTTGCTTCTCTTTGTGCAAGCCCCTTTCTCAAATGCTGAGAACTGCATAAGTAAGGTGCTTTGCAACTAAAGGTCAATCCACTGTGCCCAGCCCCACCCTACTGGTCTCACCCTCTCCTGACCACACAGGCATATGAATGAATATCAATGCACATGACATGGGCTCAGTGGATGGCAGCCATGAAGCATGACACTCCCCCTGCAGCCTCAGAGAATGTTATAAGAATATATATATATATATATAGTGACAAAACCCAAAACCTATATTCTCAGAATATTAAGAAAACTCTTCAGACAATTATTCAGATCCACAATTAGGTCATGCTTCTAATAAAACATTAGTTTTATTAGAAACTAATTTAAAACAGACTTATTAAAAACAAACATGTTGATTTCTTTCTGCCCATTTGCACCCCCAAAGTCCATGTGCTATACTTCTACTGTTCTTTACCACAAACAATGTGGGGAGGAGTTGGGCCGCTGAGCAGATTCTAAGGATGCCCAGAACACTTGAGGGTGCAGTTTTCAAGCTAACTATTAGATGGCAGAGTTGATCCTGCTCACACTCAGTTACAGATAAGCAGGGACCCATGGAGGTCCCATGAGCAGAGAGCTCTTAAGGCAGAAAGGAAGCCTGTGATGGGGGCTTCCAGGAGAACCAGTGCCAACCCAGGGAAAAGTCAGTGAGCCAGAAATAGCTGATGCCTTTCAGCAGGAGAGACCCTGAACTGCTCCTGAGCTAAGGCCACAGGGAGTGAAATCTTGGGCCAGCTGAGTCATTTACTCAAAAGCTAATGAGGTTTGGATCTTTGAATATTATTAATTAAACTGGTAGCCTTCAAAAGACTATCCAAGGAGTAAGATGTCAGTGTCAGAGCAAACCTCATAACAGGAATCAAGTAAAGCCTTGATTATGAGAAACGTGACTCCAAATAATAGGCAAGGACCATTGAATGGTGTTAGGACTTTTCTCTGGTTCTGATTCCTCAGGTCTGGGAAGTGCACATTGATCTCCAGCTCTTTATTCCATCAGATCTCATCTGGCTGCACTCCCCTGCTGCCCCCCATCGTTGCTACACCCATGGTACCTTGTTCTCAGGATTCTCTTCCCCCACAGGCTGAGGGTTCAAAGAGAACCCATAGTCACCCAGTCCATCTGCTTCCCATGTGGGGACTGCCTAGGACAGTTCCCCTGACAGCATCCCTGTCCCCCTCCTGGCATCTCTAAGTGGGCAGAGGAAATACTGCTCCTTAATCTATGGCACCCTGCACATTCCTGAATGGGACCTTGGTTGCTCCCCCCTCAGCTGAAGAGCTGTGAGTCCTCATAGCACCATGGACACCTTGTGCAACTGGCCTCCTTAATAGCCATCCTGGAGGGGTCTGTCCTACTGGATTACTGAATAATTGCCCACAGAGTCACTGTTCTGAGTTAAGGTTTCCCACCATCCAGGAATAGATCCCGTAGCAATTCTCCTCAGGAAAGTGCCTCGAGGTGATTGCATTGTAGGGACTTGAGGCCTTGAGTGTTATCTGTGAACGGGTTCATTTTAGACGACTGAGCCTCAAGGTTGGGAATCAATTCATCTCTGGGCCTACAGAAGAGGAATATTATGGAAGAATCTACATGAGATGTTAGTCAAGGGAAAAGAAAATATTTCCTACCCATTAAAGCAAAAATCAAGCACTGAATCTGACTCCAGATGTAGTGAAGGATAAGAAAAGCCAAAAGTGCTAGGCAGATTGCTAACTCCTGTGAGAAAACAAGAAGAAAGCTTCACTGATTTTATCACAGTTTTTTTTTCCATCATTGTTTAGATGGGCTTTTCATTTTGTAACATATACCTAACTACATGCTCCTCATGGGGTAATTTTTTACTACTATTTGCAGAAATCAGCTCTTTCTCCTCAACTTACATAAAATATAATAATTCCCACAAAGTTTCTAGACATAATCAGTCTACTCCAATTTTATTTCTACCTAAAACTACCTCAAAAGATCTCCTCACACCAAACATTTACTTTTTCTCATTTTGCATCTGTGAAAATAAATGTCACCAAAGCATGTTGCTTTTAATTTTCCAATAATCATTTCTTTTTATTATCTCATGAAATTGAAGTCCCTTGAGCAGATGCAATCAAGAAAACAAGTCATTTTTCTGATGTTTTAAAACATATTGTCCATAATCCCCTGATGAGGGAGGAGCACAGAGCTAGAGAATGCTACCCTACAGCCTCTTGTTGGGGTAACACTCACACCCCACAGTCATTTAAGAATGCTCATGAGAACGAGTTACCATGAACATTCTTCTTCATGAAGAAACTGGAAAACATTTCTTCTATGAACTCTTCAGGACATGCAAACATCTAACTAGGCGTTAGGGAGAAGACATGGATTTCAAGCTTTCATTAAAAAAAGAAGAAGAAAGTAATCAAGAGTCTCTTTTCAAAAAGTAGGTAAACCTGTGTTGTCCTGCCCCCAGGAGAACAAACTTAGGAAGCACAGGTTTAATCAAGCCAAGACTACCTCTGTTCAGCCATTGCTAGCACACCCCCAGAACCTCAGAATCTGAGGTTATCTTCCAGAGCAGACTTAAAACAGATACAAACGTGCTCCTTGGAGGTTGCTGGGAATGATACAGAGGCAGGTGATTAGTCTTTGGAAGTCCAGAGGGGACACAGAAAATATTGAGCAAAAGCAAGTGGATGCTGCAGAGAAGAACCAGGGACACCAGCCAGTCACTGCAGACAAAGCAGATCTCAACAGCATGCCTAAAGGGCCAGGCTTGCTTGCGTCCTGTCCCCTGTGAGGACAGGTGTGAGGTCACCACGCACAGGCAGAGTGAAATCAAACTGATTTTGTTCTTTGATAGAACGCTTTAGAAAACAAGCCAACATCAGAGGGTGAGGTGTTCCTACATTTTTCTGAGGGCCATGCTTTCTCTCTGCCCTTTGAAAGCCCTTCTTTCTTGCTGCGGCCTATTCCAGCAGGGACGCAGGGGACACAGGAAAGCATTCAGGCACAAGAGCTTGGACACTAACCTGAGAAGTAGCTGCAGGTGAACTAGTTTCCTTACCACTCACTGCTGCCCTCTCATTGGCTACGGCTTCTGTCACTTCTGCCTTCTGTACATTTGACTCCTCAGAACTTGGAGGCCCTATGTGCCCCAGACTTTTGCTCCCTGGGGTGCAAGGTGGGTTGGTGGTGGCTTTCCGGGTTTGGCCTTTATACCAACTAGGGTAAAACAAGGGATCCGCAGTTTCCGCTGCTGCAGGAACTGGAGTTTCAGACTCTGTGGTCTGCTGAGAGCCAGTGGGCACAACCTCCCCCTTCATAAGGATAGATAAATTCAAAAATAAAAAAAAAGAAAGAAAAAGAAAAGGCAGTTGATTTCAGTTCTCTTCCCTTCAGATTTGAGCGCTGTGAGTTCTCTGTGCACAATGCCTAGTTTAGCGTCTGTTGTACTTCATCCCCTTCTGGAAGAACAAGGGGCAGAATGCTGACCTCAGGGCTCCTCTGACAGGCCTCTGGATATTTTCTGTGCTTTTATTTCACTAGGTGGTAGCCCAGGCAAATAGGAAACAGGAGCCTCAAGTCAAAATTGCTTATAAAGTATCAGGTATGGGAGAAGGGTCAAAGTATTAATCAGAATTAACTTTTTGGCAATATACGTGGGCCCCCACACTGCTTTTCAAAAGCCAACAACCTCATTGATCAAATCTAACCCTCATTTAAGTTACTACCCTTCTTTCAATTTTGGTGCAACAGGTATATCCAGAATTTCAAGATTCTAGGAAGTAGAAATACTATAAAAATTTTAAGCCTCATTTGCTATGGAGACAGAGCATAGAATATAATTCCATCGCTGAGTTTCCCCTCTGGGGTTTTATTTCTACAGATGATTTCAATCCATTCTGAAAGCAGGTGCAAAAGCAGGGCTCCTCTTTGATGAGTCTGCATTGCCCACAAACTCAACAGGTTGGATCCTGTCTGCTGAAGTGTCATGAAGTCAGCACAAAAGCTTGAAAACTGGACAGTGACCTCCTAGAAACATAAGGTTAGCTGATCAGGTGCAGCCTCTGGGATGAGCTCACATCCTAAAATGTCTTGTCAACAGAGTCTCATCAAATGACAAACATATAGAAAACCAGGCTTCATTTGGTTGCCCACTGAAGGAAAGATACAGTTGCACATTGAGGTGAGCAACATGAACATATAATAGTGTAGTTTCTCTGTTATGTATAGAAAATTCAAATTTCTGCAAGTATGTTCACTTTCACATCTCACCTCATTATTCGTCACACTATACCCTATTTGTTAAGCAACAAAAAGTGACCACATCCACATCAAGCAATTCTCTGTGAGTTTACATTTCTCTCTCTCTCTCTCTCTCTCTCTCTCTCTCTCTCTCTCTCTCTCTCTCACACACACACACACACACACACACATTTTCAAAGACCACCTCACATCTGGAAGTGTTACTGGTGGAAAGTGGTATTAGGTCTTGCCACCCAGCTATAACAACAGGGAACCTGTTGAATCACTTAAGAGAATTCTCTCCCTAACACTGTGACTGTCCTGAAAAAATTTGTCTGCTGTATACAAATATAGTTATCTTTTTCTTAAGACAGAATAAATTTTGGGGGGTGTTCAGAAAGGAGGAACACTTGTAGAAAGGAACTCATGAATGGTTACCTGTGTCACTGGGGCATCCACAGCAGGTGGCAGGGTTGGAGGTGGCTCTGAAGAGGAAACTGGAAGTGCCCCGGGGACAGCCTGGAGCTCTGAGGCCAGCTGAGAGGTCTCCGAGGCGTTTGCAGGACTTTCATCTTCTCCTGATGACTCTATTTGAATATTTTCCACCTCTTCCACTTCTACTGCTTCCTCTCCTTCTTCTTCTTCTCCTTCTCCTCCTCCTTCTTCCTCGTCTTCATCTTCTGGTAAGGTATTTTTAAGCTTGTTATGACTACCACGGCAGCCATGGAAATAGCTAATGGTCAGTACTTATGGCTCAAGTTAAGGTCAGAGCTAGGGATTCCTCTCCAATTGACACTTGACAGTGGCCCTAGTGTGCCATGCTGGGGCCTGTGCTTCTATTTAAATTTGGACAAGATAAATATAAAGAAACCATCGCCTTGCTCCTTGCTGTCCTCCCCAAAGCAAAGTCCCATCCCCAATGCACCCCCCACTTCACCCCCACCCCAGCAGCCTGCTTATGTTTTTATCATATTGTGCCACCTCTGTAAGCTCCTGGAGGGCTGGGATTGTCGCTTATTTATCTCTGTCAAACTAAGTGCAACCCTCTTCCCTATCTCTGAAAACACACTTATTTTCATTTCTTACCTCCTTTTTGTTCAGTTTTTGCAACAATTAACACCATGACTCTTTTCCTAACTCACTTCATATTCTCTCAGGCAACAATAAAGACAGACAATATTAAGTACACTTTTTAAAAAAGACCTGTTAAGAAGATTTGCCTCTACTATTGCATCCATAATGCTGGTGCATTATTAGAGGTCTAGCCATGGAGTGTTTGTGGAGAGTGGTGATAGAGAAAGGGAGAGCAGTGACTGAGGTTGGGGGTCTCTGATGGCTTCATGGCTGTGGTATACCTGTTGCCTGGGAATGATTCTGTAAAGGGTACAGGATTCCCAATTGCTATGGTGACGTCTCGTCCAAAAAGGCTCTGTGCAAGAGTCTTATCGGCTTCGACCTTGATCTTAGGCACATAGCTCCCAGGGATAGCAGAATTCTGAGCATGTAAGACAACCATAATATTTCTACCAGCTGCTACTCCTGAGCCTGCCCACTTCACAGTAACTTTAGACAATGAGTGTTGCACAAAGCTCCTAACATTGCACATTGCAATTTTGGAAAAGCTACATAGATGTTTCCAGTCCTGTCACTTTCTTGGGCACAAAGAGTAATGCTTTTATAGTCTTTCACTTGATTATGAGACATATATACATAAAACTTGCTGGAACAGCTCTTTAGACACCGCGTCTCCATCAGAGAGCAGTGCTCCACCCGATCCCAGCCATCTACGTGTGTGTGTGTGTGTGTGTGTGTGTATTTCTTAATCCCCCATCACCCCTCGATGGTACTGTGAGTTTGGCCATGTTGGTCATGGTAGTGTTATCATCTAGTTGGGCTAGGATGAGTCAAAGTGATCACATTTGGGGTCAACTTCACAGTTATTTTCCTCTTTTTAATTATTTCATCAGGATAAATTTCGAAGAGTTGGATTTCTGAGCCAAAGGTGAGGAGATGTTCATAGCTTCTGAAATCTATTTGGTCACATAGACCTGACCTTGTTTCCAAGTTGTGACTTAGTCTATGACGTGTTTCTATTCTTGTCCTCTAATGAATGGTCAATCTGATGCACTAACATATCTAGCCCAGTGTCTTCTATGTTTTTTATTTTTATCTCATTCTTAATCTTGCTCTTTCCCTCCCCCATTTTAGTGGTATTTATTCCAGCAACCACAACATTGCTATAAAGGCATAATTTTAAACAGATATGCTCAGATATTTTAATTAGCAACTTCCACATACATAGATTTATGAGTTGATTTTGGTGTTCAAGGAGCCCACAGAAGTAAGAGAATCATCATTAGAGAAATGGAGTTAAGTTGAAGCTTGGAGGAGATCACATAAAAATGATCGGACTCCTGCTTAGATCTTCTTAAACTGACCATAAATAAGCCATCTGCAATAGCAGCCCCTGAGACAAATGACAAAAGAAGACAATCACACATGGTGAATGGTTTTCAGAGGAGTTCTTCTCCAACATAGATACTAAATGGATGGCAGCTCATTCTTTGAGAAAGCAGTATCTGAATACTTAGTAGGAATCCTATCAGCCAAAGTGATTATTTCTTTTTCTTTTGGAGCAGGGTGGGGTGGATACCAGGGATTGAACTCAAGGGGCACTCGACCACTGAGCCACATCCCCAGCCCTATTTTGTATTTTATTTAGAGACAGGGTCTCACTGAGTTGCTTGGCACCTTGCTTTTGCTGAGGCTGGCTTTGAATTCAAGATCTTCCTGTCTGATCCTCCAGGGCCATTGGGATTATAGGCGTGTGCCACCATGCCTGGTCAAAAGGATTATTTCTTGGATCACATCTCTATATCTTAAGAACTAGAAGAAGAACGTGAGGCTGTAATGTGGGCTCATTCTTCTGCCATGTGTGAATCATGTTCTGACTCTGCCAGTATTTCTTCTTTGGAGTCAGGGCAGGCAGCCAGTGGATCAGCCACGGAGGAAACAATGGGAATTTTCTTAGCTTGGAAGTAATCAGAGGCCTCTCTCCACAGAACAAGAGTGTCTGTTGTGGATTCTCTCCACCACCTTCTCATAGGGTTCATCCAGCACATTCACCCCCTTCACTTGGATGATGATGGCCTCATCCACATGATGGCCTCCAGCCCAGCCACATCAGCAGGGCTACCCTTCTGTACCTCTTTGATGAATGAGATTGGCAGACCCTGAATTGCATTTAAATGAAAACCATAGCCATTTTTATCTTTAATCAGCCTGCAGAGGTTAGGCCTACAATCTGCTACTTCCTCGGTAGTATCTGGACTTGAGACCTCCAGAGGAACAGGAACAGAAGCTGGAGCCTCTTTGATAGAACCATTAGGCATTTCTTGACTTTGATAGTAGAAAAATGGAGAAATCCGAGCCAGTCTATATATATATTATCCATCCTTTGTCTGCCACCAACAGTGAAGTCTGATCTCCACCCTTTTTAATCCTTTTTAACCACACTGTCATGATCAAGGGTTTCCACAGTCTCACCACTGACAGCAACTAGCAGGTCATTGTTCTTCAAGCCAGCTGCCTCTGCTGGGCTTCCAGAATCTACGTCCTTGATGATCTGACCTTTCTGTTCTGAGCATGCCTTCAGACAGAACCCATAGCCATTGCTTCCCTTCATTATCTCCACTACTCAGGGCTGATGAGGCAGGAGTTTCAAACTGGTTGTTTCCCCCTGTATCTTCTGTTCTCTATGATGCTTGTCAGTTTCTTTGTTCATAAGCAGGAACATGACAGGGCTTCCTGACTTCTTCACTTTCCCCACTACTTCCTCATGGCTGGGATTCTCCACATTCCCTCCATTTACTTCAATCAGGTGATCAGCAGCCAAGACACCAGCTTTCATACCCACACCCCGAGGAGTGATATCAGTCAGGTACATTCCCTTTTTATCTTGAATGAGAGATGCCATAGCTGTTCTCCTCCTTCACCAGGTAGCAGAGCCGGGGCTGGATCCAAGTCTCCACTGCTCCATTCATCACAGGGACCAGTTTCTTATCATTTAAACCCAGATCCTTCTGGCTCTGACCCAACTCTTTCAAGTCTACCTGATTTTTTTTTATGACTTTCTTATAGGAATCTCCACCCAGAACTAGTAAAGTCAATGAATTCCCACTCTTCCTGACCAGATCCACCACCTGCATCTGCTCTACCTTGTTGACAAAAATACTATTGATCCTAAGAACTCTGTCTCCATCCAGAAGAACAGACTTCCCTGCTGAGCTACCTTCTCAAATCACCCTGACCAGGTAGCCATCAGTTTCCTTCTCAAGTCTCAGGAAGAAGCCATAGCTTTGCCCTTCTTTTTTGGACAGTTGACATTCCCAAGGGGTTGAAGGTGGAGGCCATTTCTTTACCTGGAAGGAAGAGGAGCTGCTCTGTCCCTCAGGGATTCTCTCTCCTGTGAGCACTAGTCTTGGAACCCACTGGACTTTGAACAAAGATCAATTTAAAAGCTGATGTGTTTAACAGGGTGTGTGGTCTGAGTTCAAGTGACCTCTGCACTCCTGCTGCCAGCCGGCTGAGCCCTGAACTGGAAAACCTGAGAAACCCTCAGTAAGCCCAGCTCCCTGGCCCACCTGCCTGGAGGTGCAGGGAGGGGCTTCTGGTCTTCACTCCCAGACAATGAGGAAGGGGGAGGGGGGAGAACAGTCAGGAAGGAGGTGGTTCTGCATTCCTCTTCTCTTCCTTGGGCAGATGCCTTGGACCCCCAAACCCTCAATTCTGTTACTGCTGTATCTACTGTCTCCCATCCTGGGGCCAGGGCCAGGGATCATTACCAGAACACCCTCCCACACTAGGGGCGACCTGGGGAGTAGTAACCTATACACTGTGGGGGTTCCCACCTGGAAGAAGGCAGAGTGCATCAATCAACCCCAGTAAGTGGGGCAAATCCCCTCCGTTTACCCATCCTTCCTCCTACTGCCCTAGGAATTCTCACTTACATGCTTCCTGAGCCCAGCAGCACAGCCTCCTTAATCTTACTGCTGATGACACTTTACATCTCCGTGACTAACACTTTTTGTGTGGTCATGATATCATCATAATCATCGGCTGTTAAGTATTTGATTAAACAGGCATTATGATGTGCAAAGCTGAATAAACACTGTCAACACACTATGTGATCCTATTACAGAACAGAGCTTTGTCACGTTGGATTATGGTCTTTCTGAAGTTGTCAACATCCATTCTGGAGGTGATTCTGAATCCTCCCTTCCTCCCACCCAACTCTTCTGCAGCTTTCCCACACCTGAAATTTTGGCCAAATGGTCAAAAGAATAACAAACCTCTGTAGAAATCAATCTCACGTATTATTTTTTCTTCTCTATGGAGGTTGACTGTGAAGTGGCTCATGTTCTCATAACCATGTTCTATTTTCTCCATCTGAAATGCCTTTGATGCTTCTGAGATTCTGCAACAAAGACAGGGTTGTCATTTCTGTCACTGTTTAAAGTTTGATAGCTTTGGGTAAAAAAGAAAATACGTATTTTTCCATAAAATAAAAATGACTTACTTTTGTAACAGGGTTTTGGCATTCTGTGAAAGCAAACAAGAGACAGGCTTACTTAGATTCTTTTCATCCAAGATGCTGGTGAGACTTAATCCTTTTCTTTGCTGACCCTGAGAGTCTTATAGCTTAGTTTCTAAATGCTGTAAATAACTGCTGTATTGTCAGGGGTCCTTTTCTATGTAAGCAGGGCCAAATAGATGATGATTTTAGTTGGTAAAATAGGTTAAAACATGAAATGTACACAAAATAATAAAAATGTGATAACTAATTTCTAGCAAGTACCTTTTGGGTTTATTTCCTTGGTGCCAAGAAGAATACTTACCTGCAGAAACACCGCCATTTCTGGCTCATCCATGAACTGGATTCCTGACTCGACCAACTTTGATACGTTCTCCAAATGATCGGAATATTTTTTGATCAGAGCTCGGACATGTTCAAGTTTCTCCTCTTGGGTTCGGGTGATGGCCTGGGTCATTTCATTCTTCCTCTCCTCCAGGATGCCATACAGGTAATCAAATTTCTCACAAAGGTCCTGCTTCTGTTTTCTGCAGCATTCCTGTTAGTTGGGTTAGCTAATGTTAGGAAGTGTTTGTGAGAAAGGCTATTTGGAAAAAAAGCACCTGGACATTTTGGGAGACAGAAACATTTAGTTACATAGGATATTTTATTTCTTTTCCACTTTGAGCTGTCCCTTGAGGTACAGATATCCACTGTGCTTTGAAAATTCCAGTTTTCACAAATTCAATATTTAGACAATCTAAAAATCAATCACATTGGCTAAGTGGATTGATGATTTTACAATCTTCTGTTCTTCATAAATGGAGAATTTCATAGAAATTAGGACAGGGTTTTTTTTTTTAAAAAAAATTCTATTTGGGTTACCTGAGCTACAGCTTATATTTTTCTTTGGTGTATATATGTAAGAAGAAAAAGATGCTATTTCCTGGTTTGTTCCCCTCAGTTTCTCTCTGCTCTATCTATAACACTATTGTCCTAGTTTCAGACCTTCCACATAGATTCTCTAGCTTCTCCAAGTTTATGCTTCTGGGATTCCTTCCTCCAAGGACTCATGCCACAGACAAATCAATTTGCTATTAGTATAATTCTAATCGTGGTGTTTTTCTATTTTGAATCCCCCTTGTATAAAGAATAACATTTAGGCTTCATAACTGGCTTTCAAGAGTATCCATGATCTGGCTCTAACTTTTCTTCATAATAGTCTAGTATTCTCTATCGTAATCCTTGTATTCCAGCAAAACCAAACCACTTACTTTCTTTGCTTCTGCTTTCCCCTTTGTCTACAACATTCTCCCTCAAGTCTAAGCAACCTTCAAGACATTGTTGGAATACCACTTGTTCCATAAAGCTTTCCTTGAACTCTATGACTGATTACTAACTTTTAACCTTCTAAAGTCCTATGATAGTTACAATTTGTGGCAGACACCTGTGTCCAACAGAATCTCTATTTATTCAGAACTGTCTAAGAGAGGGAAATACTAGAGGGAAAAGCTATATTGGAAGTTTGAATTGCACACGTACATTGCATGACTAAAGCATCTCTAGTGCCATCCAATTCCCCTGACTATGAGTCCATGTTTAAATCATGACTAATTTTCCAGTTGACTTAGTCATTAGCCTTTTATTTTTTTTCAAGCTCCAGCAAGCTTGGTGTGTGTAGTAATCTCCTCAGACCTGATCTTCTCTGGGTCCAGGACCTTTGTGAGCCATAATAGTCCAACCTAGCTCTGGAATCCAGTTAATTTATCTCTGACATCTCTGACCTGTGCATGACCTTTTTCACATGTTCTTTCATTTTAGTAAACACTGGTATTTTTCATGTCACATATTGCTTTCTTCTTTGACATGAGTCTCTTAAATATGTAAACTATGGTCTTCCTCAAAGATAGAATCTGGGTCTGCCTTACACATGCCCATCAATTATAAAGACATTCCAAAAATGCAGAAGAAATACATTCCTCACTTCACTGCCTTCCCTAAACATAGTCAATTCTCATCACTGTTTCTAGCCAAACAATAAGGCATGAGGGAAATCCCATGGTTCAAGCCATTTTAATAGTATTTCTGTCATCTACCCACTCATTCAACAAACAAGCCTTAATTAAGCATGTCCTCTGTGTCATGCACTGTGCAAGACTAGAGACCCCCAAATGAATTAAACATAGTTCCTGATCTTAAGGACTTCACAGTTCACTGAATGAGAATGACTATGGACCTATAATGTAATGCAAACTAGGAGGCTGAATAATGGTAATATGTTAGAGATTTATGCCAGGTTTTATAGAAGCATAGTGGTGGGAACTTAATTTAACTCTTCCCGTAGGTGGGGGTGTTTGAAAGGGGAGTCAGAAGCGTTGGCTCAGGAAAACCTTCTTAGGAGAAGTGGTGCCTAAGTTTGGCTTTAAAGGATGAGTAGGAGCAAAGGAGGTGGTAGGAGGGGACAAAAATTGGGGAGCTTTGGTAGTTGTCAAAGTAACAAACAAGGGACCATGTAAAACATGGAAATTGCTTGGCTTGCCAAATTTCCATCCATTTCCAGCCTTTTGGATTGTCACGACTAGACTTAGGAACTGAATTCGGTTAGTAGTCTTCCAATTTGTTTCTTTTACTGTATTACTTTTTTGCTAAGCTTACAGCACCCAATGTGCTCACTGCATAATTGGAATATGTCTCTCTGATACTTAGACTTTAGATATTCCAGCGCTTACTGGAAACATGATGGTTTCTAGCTTGTTCTTCCAATAGATATGGTGAACTTTAAACATTTATAATGATTATATTAAAATGTAGTACTGAAAGAATGCCCTATTTTTATAAAAGTTTTCTTCTATATACTTTAGTGTGTGTGAGAATATTCAAGTTGATGAAGGCCAGGTCATTTGTGATGAGATTGATGTGAAATCATCTGTATTCTAGTGTATTGCTCAAATAAGATTAGATCGCTTATTTTGATTATATAAATGGTAGTGGTTTAAATGGAATAACTATACTTTCATTCCTATCTTATTTTCAGTTCTAAATATTATTTTATTTCTATTTTGCTTTTTAATGATTTGAATGATACTGAATTTGGATAAAATTACTGTCATTTTGATTATTTGCTTATCCTCTCTAGTATAAGCAGTGCTACCCCATACATGGTCTATGCTTTAATTATAGTTATTATTATCACTTTGAAAAGTACTTTAAAAAGTACTTATAATATTACTAGGTACAGAGAAGGCATGATATCAGCATTTACTAAATTTAGGTCCAATTCCTTACTTTGAATTTTTTTTATTAGTTGTTCAAAACATTACATAGCTCTTGACATATCATATTTCATACATTTGATTCAAGTGGGTTATGAACTCCCATTTTTCCCGTATTCAGATTGCAGTTAGGTGTTAAATCTTGGAGTTGTATGGAACGCTAAAAGTAGCCTGCTCCAGATCAATCAATTCACTCATGTGGAAACTGAAACTCCAAAGAGCTGTCACCTTCTCGAGGCCTTTCTACTATTTATTGTTGGTGCCTGGCCCAGAGTCAAAGGCTCTGAGCTCCTGAGTCATTCTATTTCTACCACACCCAGCTGTGTCTGTCCTTTTAAGTAACTTGGAAAAAATTTACATAAAGTGCTTGTGAACTAAATATATGCCATCTGATAGACTACTATGCTGAATCTAGGCTTTTTTTGTGTGTGATTAGATCCTTAAAAGACTTTATTATGTCAATATTTATTGTAAGAACAAAAGGTCTTCAGTATAAAATATTTGAAAAAATTTAAAATGCGAAAAAGAAATAATAAAGTAACTAAAATTCTGAAGTTATTACCAATGATATTTTAGTATTGATCCTACCATTCACTTATCAATGTCAATATTAACATATGTTAATTTGGTGTGCTATAATTAGTAAATATGTAGAATAGTCATATGGCATTACAATCACAACTCTTTTTTAGAAAGGAAAACTTGAAAAAAATCATCCAAGCCACACTTATACAGACTATTAGTGGTAGGGCTAGGCTTGAGTTCCAGAGAAATTTCTGCTGTTTTAAAACTCCAACAGTGAGACCCAATGACCATGCGCTGACACCAATAGTAACATATACACCTCTCAGATATGCCCAAAAGCCAGACAAAAGATGGCATCTAAAGTAGAAACTGTAGAAAACCAGTTAAAAAATTGAATAAAAGGCAAATAATTAATAAAACATAGTAGAAATTTGCCTTTGCATAGAGATATAGAAATTGAGCTTCCAAATAAAAATGTTCTTGTCAAAATCATCTAAAACAGAGCTGAGAGGCCATGGGAAATGCTCAGGTCACAAATGTGCATTCCAGGAACTGCCCCATTAGGTCAATGCAGAAAAACAGCTCGTCTCTTTTGAAGACAATGTATTTTCATTTTACACACTTTCAACATAAATGCTACAACCTTGAAACAGACACACACACACACACAAAAAAAAAAAAAAAAAGCACAGTGACTGCTTGCGTTCACCAATCAGATCTCTCTAGCTCACTTGCATACCAGGAAGGTCAATCAACTTTCCTTCATAATAAAGTGCCTCCTCTGTCCTAATACAATACTCACCTTCTCCTCTGTGCTGTAGGCGTACTAGGGGCCACCTTGATCTGTGCATGTATGTTCTGGGTTGCAATCTATGTTTTCTTTTGATTTTGACAAGGAAAACTTCATGCTACATTAATGAAACCAGATTAAATATGTGATCTATTTATACGAAAAAGAAATAAATATGTGACCTATTTACATATATTATATACATAATTCTAGGTATATAAGCTTTCCGGAAAAGGCAAAAGCAATGATTTCCAGAGCCTGGGAGTTTGGGGAGGACTGGATTTCAGAGAAACAGAAATTTGAGTCCAAAGAGCAATTTTGTATCTTGACTGTAGCAGAGGTTGCAGACGTTTAAACATTTGTCAAAACTCATGGAATGAGTATTGGAAATCTAGAAATAAAACCTATTCCATATGGAAATACCATACAAGGTAATTGTAGTATTACAAATCAGCGGGGGGAAAGACAGACAGTTTTGAATAGATGTTGGGGAGAAATTTGTCATATAGAAATAGATAAAATTACATTCATTTCTTGCACTATATTCTAGAATAAATTTCATTGGGTTAGAGGTTTCAAAACTATGGTAAACCATAAAATAATAGAAGAAATCATAGGTGCTAGGCACAGTGGTGCATGCCTCTAATCCCAGCAGCTTGGGAGGCTGAGGCAGGAGAATCACAAGTTCAATGCCGGCCTCAGCAAAAGCAAGGTTCTAAGCAATTCAGTGAGACCCTGTCTCTAAAAAAAAAAAAATACAAAATAGGACTGGGTATGTGGCTCAGTGGTAGAGTGTCCTGGGTTAAACCCCCAGTACCAAAATAAACAAAAAAAACAAAAATAAGAAAAAGAAAGCAAAGGTAAATTTTTCAGTAACTTGGGATAGAGGAAGACTTTTTAATTTATGACTCAAAATTAAACAGTGAAGAGGGAAAATATTGATTTCAATCAATTATGGTGATACATAAACAG